GCAAGCGTCTTTTAATTTCTTGGCTGCAGTCCCCATCTGAGGTGATCTTGGAGCCCAGAAAAATAAAATCTGTCACCACCTCCATTTCTTCCCCATCTATTTGCCAGGAATTGAGTGGGCCGGATGCCATGATTTTGGTTTTCTTAATGTTGAGTTTCAAGCCAACGTTTGCACTCTCCTTCTTCACCCGCATCAAGAGGCTCCTTAGTCCCTCTTCACTTTCTGCCCTTAGAGTGGTATCATCTGCATATCTTAGGTTGTTGATATTTCTCCCGGCAATCTTAATTCCAACTTTTGTTTCATCTAGCCCTGCCTTTCTCATGATGTGCTCTGCATATAAGTTAAATAGGCAGGGCGACAGTATACAGCCTTGACGGACTCCTTTTCCAATTTTGAACCAATCAGTGGTTCCGTGTCCAGTTCTCACTGTTGCTTCTTGACCCGCATATAGGTTTCTGAAGAGACAAATAAGATGGTCTGGTATTCCCATCTCTTTAAGAACTTGCCACAATTTGTTGTGATCCACACAATGAAAGGCTTTAGCGTAGTCAATGAAGCAGAAGTAGATGTTTTTCTGGAACTCCCTAGCTTTCTCCATGATCCAGTCGTATCGCGCTTCCCTGTGTTACACCTTAAGAGGTTGCTCCTAAAAGTGCACCCCGCTCGCCCCCTTCAAGCAAACCCAGATGTTTTTATTCAAGAATAGTTTTGTTTGTCCTGCCCTTCTTTTTCTTTAAGGAGATCGTAAGTATGTAGGTTTGTATTTGGGCTTGGTGTTTCTAAACTATATTTCTTAGAGATACCTATGTATTAATATAAGCGCAATATCAAATATCTATTTGAAATATTGTGTATTTTTATTACGAAACGATCAATATAAAAATAAATGTAGTTTATTTTGAAAAAGTATATAACCTATCTTTCCCTTATAGGTTTATCATTTAAAGGATGGATAAAAGGGGTGAGACGTGAGAAGTTGCAACTAATGGCATTTATTAATTTGTTCGCCGTCCATCTAACTTTGTAGGCCTTCGTCTATTACTAAGGTGTTAATACCGTTAATAAAGATAGAGAATACGGTCATTTTAAAATGCCATTAAAAAGGTTTATTTCTTTGGGTGGCCGCAACACCCATTTTTGAACCCAGGAGGGCACAGTTTTCTGTCCCATAGCTTTGGCTTGGAGTCCATCCTAGGCCTTTTTAATGGCCTCCATCCTATAGCTAAGGCAGGGGTAGGCAACCTTGGCTCTTTGATGACTGGTGGACTTCAACTCCCAGAATTCCTGAGCCAGCCCTGATAAGGGACGGAAAACTGGTCAAATCAGATACTGCGGCCAGAAAAATAAATAAACCTCTTTAAGATGATTATTCTTGATTATTAAAACCTTCTTAATATGAATAAGCCACAATAGGCCTTAACTCGGTTTAAGATTGGAACCAGGATTTCTTCTGCGCCCGTGTGGCACCGACCGGGCCCCCCCGCGTCGCCACGTTAATATTAATCATAAGGCGTTAAGAATAAAAATAGAGAAGAGTAAGCTTCAAATGCTATTCAAAAGTATTTATTTCTTTGGGCGGCAGCAGTACCCGTTTTTGACCACAGGAGGGCAGTGTTTCCCGTCCCATAGCCTTACCAGGGAGGCCGTCGTAGGCCACTTGCCCAGGATCGGGACACCGAGAAGCTAAGCCCCAAAGCGCAGAGCGTCAGCCAAAGTATCGCCACTCTATGCTCCTCCGAAAGGGACGGGCCGCTTCCCTCGACCTTCTGCGCGTGTCCGCCGGCTGGTTCTTGACGAGTAATCTGCGAGAGGCCCTCTCTGGACGGCGGGCTTCCTGCCCGTCGGTATCGGCCGTCCCCCAGGTGCTGCGGTAAAAGGACCTTTCCATCATGTCCGACTTCCGTCCCTTCGTTCTTAATCTTTCCCCCTACTTCCTGTCGGGTAGACCTCCTCAGTATGTCCGACTTCCTGTCCGCGCAAATTCGCCGTCCTCCAGGGTCTTTAAATTGCGACCTTCCCAATATGGCCGACTTCCGGTCCGTCCTTCTTAATCGTCCTTCCACTTTTTTTCGGGGACCTTCTGGGCAGGGCGGACTCCACGTCCGATCAACGAGGTAAGCCTTGAAAACCCCATTCAAAAGGCTTATTTCCCTTGTCCTGCCCTGCTATTTCTTTAAGGAGATCGTACGTATGTAGGTTTGTATTTAGGTTTGATGTTTCTAAACTATATTTCTTAGAGATCCCTCTGTATTAATATAGGCGCAATATCACATCTCTATTTGAAATTGTGTGCATTTTTATTAAGAAACGATCAATATAAAAATAAATGCAGTTTATTTTGAAACTGTGTATAACCTATCGTTCCCTTCTAGGTTTATCATTTAAAGGATGGATAAAAGGGATGAGACGTGAGAAGTCGCAACTAATGAATGGCTTTTATTATTTTGTTCGCTGTCCATCTAACTTTGTAGACCTTTGTCCAAAACAAGTCAGGGTTAGGAAGGGTAGGAGATTTCTTCCTTTCCTCTCCAGGTTGCCGTAAACAGCCCACCCACCGCCCAGAGGTAAGAGAAAGGTAAAGCAGGTCTCTCTGGGGGAAGCAGGTGACCCGGGTCTTTGCAGAGTCCGGCTTGCAATTTTGCTAACTTCCCCCAGTCACAGCTGCATCGACTGATGTAGCGGCCAGGAGGAAGGGTGGGGAGGAAGGGTGGGGACGCCTGCCGGATGAAAGCTTCAGCCTTTTTGGAAAAGGCAGTGGAGAAAGGAGGTCACGCTCCCTCTGCCAAATGGGTGACCCCCCCCTTTCTGTGGCTGTTAAGAAGGAAGGGGGGGGGGGAAACAGATAAGTTGTTCTTGAGGATTTTCCCCCCCCTTTTTTGCCAGCTTCAGTGAGATTAAGGCTTTTCCTTTTAAAAAGACAGGGATGGAACTGGAGGAAGGTTGGGAGCCCAGTAAAAACCGCAAGAGGCAGTGGGAAACACGGTGGGAGGTTGCGATTACCCCCGCTCCTCTAAATATTGCAGTTTTGGTGGGAAATAGCAGGAGGTAGGATTCCTCTCTTAGGAAAGCTCAGGTCTTTCAGATACATTGCTGGTCCCCACACACCCCATTTAATCCATTTTCTTGCTGCAGAGAGAGATTCTGTTAAGTTCTAGCTGGAACTCCACGTCTCTTATTCTGTTGGTAGCTGCTTTGCTTAGGTTGGGTGTAGCCTAGGGATATTTAAAAACAGTGAGGAAAGTCCACAGGAGCCCCCCTTATGCTCCCATCGCCTGTTTCCTGGGAGAGGGGAAGTTATTTATTGAGACTAAAGCGGTCAAGCCCTCTGGGAAGAATTGAGTCCTACGGTTAAAGAAGGAATAGCAGTCACAAAAGGAAATAAATCCTTTTAATATGATTTTAAGATTATTATTATTGATCTATTGAAGTTATTGAATGGTATTAAGGGTCAAAAAACAGTGCCATCCTGTGATTGAAGCAGGTAGAGGAGCCATTAAAAAACTTTTCAATAGAGGAGAATAAATAAAGGTCAAAAGTGAAAATATGTCTATAATAATGTATAATAATATGAATTATTCTTAGTAAGAAGTAGAACATGTAGGAAGAAAAATGTAAATAAGAAAGAATGGGGCTATAAGGACAAATATTCTAAAGAAGAATAAGGGGGAAATGTAAATATTAGATTACCGTTACGTAATTGCTGTAAAAAAAAGGAGTATATAGTGTATGTGTATGTGTGTTATATTTTGCTTTGTTCTGTTTTGTTGGTTAAAAATAAAAATTAAAAAAAAACTTTTCAATGGCATTTTAAGGTTATTCTTTATTATTAAAACCTTATTAATATTAATAGGGCATCATAGTCCTCCTTAACTAGATTTAAGGCTTTTGAAGCAGATTTCTTCTTCCGCGCCTGCGTTGCAGCAAACGGGCCTCCCCTGGCCCTATTAATAAGGTGTTAATACTGTTAATAAAGATAGAGAATTTAAAATGCCATTTAAAAGGTTTATTTCTTTTGGTGGCCACAATACCCGTTTTTGACCAGAAGAGGGCACACTTTCCCGTCTCATAGCTTTAGCTTGGAGTCCATGGTAGGCTTTTTTTAATGGCCTCCATCCTATAGCCAAGGGACAGAAAACTCTGTCAAATCAGATACTGCAGCCACAAAAATAAATAAACCTCTTTAATGGCGTTTTCAGATGATGATTATTCTTTATTATTAAAACCTTATTAATATTAATAAGCCACGATAGGCTCATTCCCATCCCCTACTACACTTGACTTGCAATCACGGTATACAGGCCATGTGGCAAAGTACCACAAGTGGTACACATACCACTGGTTGAAAAGCCCTGCTCTATAATTATTAATATCAAGGCTTCTAATAATACAGATGCAAAAGAATAACCTCAAAATCCCGACTGTTCTGTTCACTGAACCTGTCTTGCCCTCTCCGGCTGTAAAACGGGGCCCAGGGGCCCTTTTACAAATGCAAATGGGGCAACTAAGCCTGAGAAAGAATCCCTGAAATTTATGTTTCCAACATATGAACTGTATCTCTATGTTCCCAATTTGGCCTCTTGTTTTTCTCCCTCTGAAGTGGAAAGGGCACAAAGAGACCCAGCCTCCTAGTCTCTCGTACCGGCATCCAGCCGCCTGCTTAGGGACAGGAAGTCGGCCATGCCGAGAAGGTCGTTCTGAATGGAAGTGGACGGACGGCCACAGAAACGGACAGGAAGTTGGCCATCCCGGGGAGGTCGGTGTGTAAGACAGTGGAGGACTACTGCGCATGTGTGACTGGAAGTTGGCAGGTAAGGTTGATTTCCTTGTGTGGCTGCTATTCCTGCCTAAGGCTGCGTTCTGATGACTTTGCCCCTAAAATAACAACATAGTCTTTCATATCTTGGGAAAGCCTGACTTTTTTGCCCTCTTTTGGGCAAGGAAAGAGTAGGGCCTCAGGTTTTTAAGAAGAGACTTGACAACCATTTGTCTGAAGTGGTACTATAGGCTTTCCTGCTGGACTACAAGACCTTCCACTCTATTGTTGTTATTGTTGATCTCCCAAAGCAATTGCTCACTGTATTTTCTTCTACTGTTTAGAAGGAAAAACATAACAGAAAGGAGAAACTATTCTTCTTTTAGCCGTTGTTTTGTGGTTAATTCAGGGTTCGGGGGAAATTTGACCGGCTCCTCTGGTTCAAGCCTGTGCTCCAGCTCAAAATATGGAGTTGTGTTGTTTTGAGAAGGCTGTGCCAATAGCAAGTGGGAGGTCTTGTGGCAGGATTTGATTCTCTTCACCCCAAGACCAGCTGGTAAAAGCAGGAAATTAAACCGATCAAGAATTCTGGTGATTTGTTATGATTCCTACAACTCAGTGCTTTTTTCTTAGGCCCTAGGAGTAGGTAACCCAAAACACTCGAAGAGCCACTTGGACCCATTTACAACCGAAAACATCTTTTATGACTCATGGACTTCTACTCTCAGAATTCCTGAGTCAGCATAGCTGGGCTAGCTAGCTCTCTCCTGCCCTTCCTGCTTCCTGCAGAGACGCAGCAAAAGGAGGAGTGCCATCCAGTAAGCTTTTTAGCTCGTCGGAGAACACTGTGAGTCCGCTCTCTTTTTTACACACACACACACACACACAGAGAGAGAGAGAGAGAGAGAGAGAGAGAGAGAGAGAGGAGGGGGGAAGCACAAGTGCCTCTCTCTCTGTCTGCAAATGGCAGAGGAGGCTGGGAGCCGCAGGGGAAGGCTCAAAGAGCCATATGCGGCTCCAGAGCCGCAGGTTGCTGACTCCTAGGGGCACTCAGAGTACACCTTTGATAAAGGAATATACATAATAAGCAAACACGTATAAAACTGAGTTTAGTCAAAGCAGCAAAGTCTGCCCTCTTGTGGCCAGTGTGTGCTGTAACGTTTAGCAAAGAAGCCCTGAAGTGGCTTATTTTTATTCTTTCATTTCCTTCCTTTGATGGAAGCTCAAAGCAGCCACAGAAGAGGCTGCTGGGAATACAAAAGATAATTGCAGAAGCTAAAATTTCATTTCTAATAGGGCACCGAGGAGGGCAAAACAGGGAATGCTGCCCTCCTGTAGCCAGGTAAGTCCATGGCATTTTTTCCCCAAGGTACAGCAGAAAAGGTTACTGGACAGATTCAATATAGATTGGGTGTCAAATTCAATTTCACTGAGGGCCGCATCAGCATTGCAGTTGCTGGGGGGGGGCTGGGTGGGTGTGGCCAGAGTGGGTGTGGCCTACTGGGTGGGCGTGCCCAATTCTACACCAGTCGCGTCAAGGGTGCCTGTGGGGGTCTGGGCAGGAATGGGACAGATCTGAGGGTCTCTGGCCGAAGGGGGTGGGACGGGGGCAAGTGCCAAGGCATGGTCCACTGGGGCAAGTACCAAGATGGCCACCACAAAATTGTACATTGGCTCCCAGCCGGCTGGGGCCAAGACAGCGGGCTCCCTCACTGTTTCCAGGGTGGCTTCGTGGGCCACATGAAACCACTTTGCGGGCCGCATCCGGCCCCCGGGCATTGTGTTTGACATGTCTGATATAGATGATTAATAGGTGAGATAAATAATAGATGAGAGAGGGAGAGAGAGAAATCTAAAACATTTGTTATATAAAGCACAAAAAACTTCATTGGAAGTTTATTTTGGTAGAACCCCCAAATCATTACAAAAGATGATCCTCGGTGATTTCGGCACAGGGCAGGAGCACAAGGTGCCTAACAGGTCCAAGCTCCTGACCGCAGGATCCCAAATATATTCATATTCATATTAGTAAAGTTGGAAGGGACCTTGGAGGTCATCTAGTCCAACCCCCTGCTCAGGCAGGAAACCCTACACCATTTCGGACAAATGGCTGTCCAGTCTCTTCTTAAAAACTTACAGTGTTGGAGCATTTACTGCTTCTGGAGGCAGGCTGTTCCACTGATTAATTGTTCTCACTGTCAGGAAGTTTCTCCTTAGTTCTAGGTTGCTTCTCTCCTTGATTATTCCACCCCTTGCTTCTTTGTCCTGCCTTCAGGTGCTTTGGAAAATAGCTTAATTCCCTCTTCTTTATGGGGCACCCCTGAGCTAATTGTATATACTGCTATCATGTCCCCCTTGTCCGTTCTCTTCGTTAAACTAGACATACCCAATTCTAGCAACCATTCCTTATATATTTTAGCCTCCAGTCCCCTAATCATCTTTGTTGCTCTTCTCTGTACTCTTTCTAGAATCTCAACATCTTTTTTACATCGTGGTGATCAAAACTGGATGCAGTATTCCAAGTGTTGCCTTACCAAGGCATTGTAGAGTGGCATTAATACTTCACGTGATCTTGATTCTATCCCTCTGTTAATGCAGCCTAGCACTGTGTTGGCCTTTCTGGCAGCTGCACACACTGCTGGCTCATATTTAGGTGATTGTCTACTAGGACTCCGAGGTCCCTCTCACAGTTACTACTATTGAGCATGGTGCCACCTATGCTGTACTTGTGCATTTGGTTTTTCTTGCCTAAATGTAGAACCTTGCTTTTTCACCATTGAATTTCATTTTGTTAGTTAGTGCCCAGTGTTCAAGTCTGTCCAGATCCTTCTGTATCTTAAGCCTGTCTTTCCTGGAGTTGTTGGCTATTCCTGCCAGCTTGGTGTCGTCTGCAAATTTGATGAGTGTCCCCATCTATTCTTCATCCAAATCGTTGATGAAGATGTTGAAGAGTACTGGGCCCAGAACAGAGCCCTGGGGCACCCCACTACACACTTCCCTCCAGATAGATGCAGTTCCATTGAGTACCACTCGCTGAGTACGGCCGGTCAGCCAGCTACGGATCCATCTGGTGGTGGTTCTGTCTACCCCACATTTTTCTATCTTGTCAAGTAGTAGGTTGTGATCTACTTTATCAAATGCCTTACTGAAGTCCAAGTAAATTATGTCCACAGCATTCCTCTGATCCACTAATTTTGTCACTTGTTCAAAGAATGCAATAAGATTTGTCTGGCATGATCTATTTTTGACAAACCCCTGTTGGCTTTTAGTAATGACTTTGTTTGCCTCTAGGTGTTCGTTGATTCGTTGTTTGATTATCTTTTCCAGGAATCTTCCCAGGTAGTGAAGGTCAGGCTGATAGGTCTGTAATTTCCTGGATCCATTTTTTTTTTCCTTTTTTTGAGGATGGGAACTACATCATCTCTTTTCCGTCCTCCTGGTAGTTTCCCCACTGTGTTCCAGGCTCTTTGGAAATATAGTTCGTGGCTCCGTATCACATCTGCCAGTTTTCCTTGAGAACTCTGGGCTGTAATCCATCTGGTCCTGTCGATTGAACTCATCTATGCTGGACAGGTGCTCACTAACCATTTTCTTGCCTATCTTAATTTGTGTTTCTGTTTTGTTTTTTATGGCACTATTTTTGAGAGGTTGGTCTGTTTTTTCCCTTTGTGTAAAGACAGATGCAAAAAATGAGTTAAATAGTTCTGCTTTCTCCCTGTTGCTTGTCACCTTCTTGCCACTTCCACCCACTAATGGACCAATCATTTTCTTCACTTTTTTCTTGTTTTTTACATGTTAGAAGCTTTTTTTTGTTATTTTTGACTTTGGTCGCAAGCCTTAGTTCATTTTGAGCCTTGGCTTTCTTCACTTCATCTTTGCAGGCTCGGGCTATTTGCTGATATTCTGACTTAGTTATGTTCCCCTCTTTCCACTTTCTATACTTGTCCTTTTTATCTTTCAATTTGTCAGAGAGTTCTTTATTCAGCCATGCTGGTTTCTTTTGGGAGCTGTTGTTTTCCTCTTTGTTGGTATTGTGCTAGACTGTGCTTTTATTATCTCATTTTTCAAAATTTCCCAAGCTTCTTGAGTTGTTTTCCCCTTGAGGATTCTCATCCATGGAATCCTTCCCAAGCCCTAAGTTTATTGAAATTAGCTCTCTTGAAGTCCAAGACTCTAGTTTGACTGTGTTCTATTGCTTGTGCTTCTATAATGTTGAATTCTAATATAATGTTGAATTCTAATATTGCATGATCACTTCCTCCCAGGGTTCCTATGGCTTCAACACTGTCTATCATTTCATCTCTGTTAGTGAGAATTAGATCCAAAATGGCTAATCCCCTAGTTCCATTCTCTACTTTTTGGGAGACAAAGTTGTCTGCTCGGTTTGCCAGGACCCTGTTTGATCTTCCACTTGGTGCGGAGTTTGTCTCCCAGTTGATGTCAGGGTAGTTAAAGTCCCCCATTACTATTGTGATGTGCTTCCTACATACCTTAGTTAGCTGACTAGCAAAAAGTTCATCTATTTCCTCTTTGGTTGGGTGGTCTGTAGTATACACCTATGGCAATGTCATTTCCCCTCCCTTTTATATTGACCTAAATGCATTCAAGACAGTTTTTATCATTGTTGTGCTCTATTTCTGTGGAGATGTAGTTATTTCTTATATAGAGAGCAACTCCACCTCCTCTTTTATTTGGTCTGTTTCTTTTAAATAATTTAAATCCCTCTAGCTGTGTGTTCCATGTGTGGGTTTCATCCCACCATGTTTCCGTAATGGCAACAAAATCGTATCTGCCCTCATTAACCTGAATTTCTAGTTCACCCTGTTTGCTGTTCATACTCTGTGCATTGGTGTATAAACATTTGAGTCCTTTGTGGGTGGCCCTGTGTTTCCTTTCTACAGAACCTGTGTGGTGCCTGAGTTCCCCTATTGTCTTACCACCTATTTGGTTGGTGCACTTTATGTGGCACTCGCTATTAGAGGCTTCATTTTGCTTGATAGCAAGGTTGATATTCTTGTCCACACACACATCTATGCTACATGCACTGATAGCCCTATAGTTTTTAAATTGCCGGGGACAGGGTTGTTCCGTGTCAATTAACTCCCTGTCCCCGCTGTTTAGTTTAAATTTCCCTTCAGAAAATCTGTGAATTTATAGCCGAGTAACTCAGTCCCTTTTTTTGATGGATGCAAACCATCTCTTTTGTACATCTTTTGATTGGACCAGCTACTGACATTGTGACTAATATATCCAAAGCCTTCCCCTTCACACCACTCCTTTAGCCACATACTGAATTGTGCTATGCACTGGCCGTTTCCGTTTTGCTCCTTATACACTGGTAAGACCTCTGAGAAAGTAAGCCTACAGCCTATTCTGCTAAGTTCCTTCCCCAAGCTCTGGAAATCATTCTGCACAGAGAGTACATCTTTTTGGGAGAGATCATTAGTGCCAAGATGTACAATAGCCTCCACATCCAAGTCCTTGCTGCCATTCTTGATTATTTTAGAAATACGCTTCTTGTCCCTACTGGCAGTAGCACCTGGAAGACACCTGACCTCTTTCAAAGCCTCTGTGTCCTTCCCTAAATTTACCTCCCTTATAATTGAATCACCTACCAGAAGGTAGCTTCTCTTTTTGGGAGCCTTTCTATTCTTGCATGACTGATGTGCAATACCTGATTCACACTTTTCCCTGTCAGAATCTAGTTCTTCATCTCGGACCACAATCCCCTGCTTATTTGAGTTATCTTCACAAATACCTTTACCTGTCTCCTTAATGTCCCTATTAAGGTCAGCAAGGGCACTGTAACTGTTGTGCAGACACACAGCGAAAGCTTTGTGTTTATGG